AAGCGGGGATTAGCGGTCCATGGACTTGGCGCGCGGTCGCCGAATCGATGGATCGGGGGAGGTGCCATGGAAACGGGACCCGTTGCTGATTTACGCCCACCTGGTTTGCGATCGCCTGACCCTTCACCGCCGCGCGCTCCGGCTGTGAGTTGTTGCGCCCCCTGGGGCGGGGAAATACTGACCCCCCCAGGAGGCACTCGCAGCACATCTACTTCACATCAGCAGACACGCTGCCCAACACCACAACGCACGGAGACAGCGCGGGGCACGCTCCGCGCGCGAGGGGGGTCGTTGCGCCCAGTCCAGGCTCTACAGAAGCCAGTCCCAGGGAGGAGGTCGAGATGCCCTGGGGCCCACATCGCGAAGAATAATGCACTCTCTGAGGACGTCCTCAGGTACCTCCAGCGAATTGCGTGTACAAAAAGAAGTGCTGGATATGTTCGTTTGTTTTCGGCCTCCTCCTCCTTCTCCTCCTCCTCCGCATCCTCCTCCGCATCCTCCACATCCTCCGCCGTCTCCTCCTCCTCCTCCGCATCCTCCTTCTCCCTCCTTCACCCCCTTTCCCTCTCCCCCTTCCATCATCCCCTCACCCCCTTCCTCCCTCCTCATTCCCCCCCCTCCCCTCCTCCTTTTCAGTCACCTCCTCCTCCTCCTCCTCCTCCTCCTCCTCCAACCCTGATCTTCCTCCTCCTCTTCCTGACCTTCTGCTGTCCCTGTCTTCCTCCTCCTCCTCCTCCTCCTCCTCCTCCTCCTCCTCCTCCTCCTCCCCCTCCTCTTCCTCTTCCTCCTCCTCCTCCTCCTGCTGCTGCTGCTCCTCCTCCTCCTCATTATCAAGATCAGCAGCAGCATCAACATCATCATCACCACCAGCATCATCATCATTAGCATCAGTATCGTCATCATCTTCATGATCATCAATATCATCAGCATCAGCATCAGCATCAGCATACTTATCATCATCATCATCATCATCATCATCATCATCATCATCATTACAGTATCATCCTCATCCTCATCCTGATCCGCATCATTATCCTTCTCATCATCATCATCGTCATCATCATCATCATGATCAGCGTCGTCGCCGTAGTCATCATCACAAGCATAAGCATCAGCATCATCATCAGCATTCTCAATTTCATAATCAGCATCACCATCATCATCAATACCATCATCATCACCATCATCAGCATCCTCGGCTCCATCATCAGCATCATCATCAGCAGCATTAGCATCAGCATCATCATCACCATCATCCTCATCCTCATCCTCATCACCATCAGCATCACCATCACCATCATCACCATCATCATCCTCCTCCTCCTCATCATCATCATCATCAGCATCAGCATCAGCATCAGCATCATCGTCATCATCATCATCATCATCATCATCATCATCATCATCATCATCATCAGTATCACCATCACCATCACCATCACCATCACCATCATCGTCATCATCATCCCTCCTCACTTCTCCTCCTCCTCCGCCTCCTCCACAGCCAAGGCAGTGTGCATTCCATTCGTTCCTCCTTCTCCTCCTGCTCCTCCTCCTCCTGCTCCTCCTCCTCCTCCGCCTTCGCCGCATCCTCCTCCCTAATCTCCTTCCATCCTCCTCCCTCCTCCTCCCTCCCCCCTACTCGCCCCCCTCCTCCCTCCTCCTCATCCTCCCTCACTCCCCATTCCTCCGCCTTCCTCCGTCCCTTTTCCTCCTCCTCCTCCTCCTCCTCCTCCTCCTCTCTCCTCCTCCTCCTCCCACCGTCCTCCTCCCTTCCCCCTCCTCCTCCTCCTCCTCCTCCTCCTCTTCCTCCTCCTCCTCCTCCTCCAACCTGCAGTGTGGGCCCCTTCTCTCTGCTAAGTTCCAGCGTGGCCTCTTCAGGCACCCATGCTGGCGCGCCTCTTTCCTGCTTGCTGTTGCTGCTGCTTGCCGTCCTCCCGTCATGGCGTCCTGTCCTGTCCCTGGGGACCAGCAGGGCATGAGGATGCAAGCCCGACTGGTCTGGTTGATGCTCCAGAGAGGCTGGGGCTTGGGACGCGTCGGCCGCCACTGCCCTCTCCCTTGTCGATGGCCCTGACAAGGTGAAAAGGGGGAGGGTGCCGAAATGCTCCCAGAGTCCAGCGCAAGACATGAGGGTGCAAGCCCGACATGTCTGGCTGATGCTCTGGGGGAGGCGGCCGTGCTCGGGGGAGGCTGCAGCACCGCTCCACGATGCGCTGCTGACGCGACCCTGCAGGGTGGGCCCCTTCTCTCTGCCAGATTGCATTATCCCGAGGGGGAGGAGGAGTTAGCACAGCAGCAAGCGCTATAAAAAACGATGGTGTTGTTCCACCTCCACCTCCTCCTCCTCCTCCCCCTCCTCCTCCTCCTCCTCCTCCGCCTCCGCCTCCACCTCCGCCTCCTCCTCCGCCTCCGCCTCCTCCACCTCCTCACCCCCCCTCCGCCTCTCTGCCTCCTCCCTGCCTCCTTTTCCGCCCCTCCCCCCCCTCCTCCGCGGCGCCTGCTGCGCATCCTGCCGGTGCTGCGGCGGAGGCCAACCTGGACCGCTCCCGGCGGGCTCGGGGGAGCGGCCTGGCGCTGGGGCCTCTTGCAGGGGGGGGGGGAGCTTTCCGTGATGGAGCAGTGAGAGAGCGAGGCAGGCCAAGGTCTCATCATATATTCCCAGGACAGGTTTTCGGTGGGGGGTCGGTTTTTTTTTCCGCCCCGCTCGGGCGGGTGGTCATGGGGGTTGACCCAGGCTGGGGGGGGAAGAAAAGGGCCCTACAGGGGCCCTTCAGGGCCCCTCCAGCTGGGCCCCAAAGAGGACCGAAAGTGCCCGTTCGCTGGACAGATTGTCAGTGGGGGGGAGTTTCTTCCCGCCCCACCCCCGGTGGCGGAGCCCTGGGCTCGCGATCTCGGGGCACGTCGTTGCCCTTTTTGGTCGGGCACATGTCCTCCTGCAGGCGTCCCAGATCATGAATCATCCCAAACACCCCAAATATCATAAAAAAACAGAAGAATCGTCACCTGACTATTCTTCCCTATTCTTGAATATTCCTTCTGTAGAAGGATATTCGGGCCGGGCGGAAAGGGGGGATAGCAAAGGGGGGGATTGAGAATCAGCTCACGTAGCTGATTTTCCCGGCGCCTCCCGGCGCCGGAGGTGGCCATGTATCGAGGAATGGGCCCGGCGGCGGGGCCGACACCAGCTGCACGCAGCAGACTTCGCACCCCCACCTTTCTCTTTCCCTATCCCCCCCTTTCGTCCGGCCCGAGAAAACTAACCTCCTGTGGAGGGACATGCCTGGCTTCACGTTGCTCCCGATCGCCGGCCCCCCCCCCCTCGCGGCCCAGGCCCACGAGAGATCGGGGGCCCGTGGCCCCCCGGCTCTGCACCGCGCCCGGGGAGGGATCGGGGGCCCCGCTGCCCCCAGTCGTTGCGCCATCGTTGCCCCGCCAAGGTTTCCCCGCCATCGTCTCCCCACGATCGCTGCCCCACCAGCGTTGCCCCACCAGCGTTTTTCCCCGCCCATCGTTTCCCCGCCGTCGTTGCCCCACCGTCGTTGCCCCAGCGTCGTTTCCCCGCACATCTTTTCCCCAGCATCGTTTCCCCACCATCGGGGGCCCCGTGGCCCCCCGATCGTTCCCCCATCGGCTGCCCACCATCGTTCCCCAACCAAGCTGCATCACTACTACCAAAACGCTTGGCGGAACGGACTTCGTCCTGGTATGAAGCATCGAGTTCGACGGCTTTCGCAAGATTTCAAAGAGATTCGACACTTCGCTTGAAGATCCAATCTTGTCTTAGTGAGCATCGCTGCGAGCCCAGCGCTGGACCCCCGTCGTTGCGCGCGGAGGGCTGCCCGGGGCCCTCTGCAGCACGGGGTGCAACCTGCTTCAGTCCCGACGCCTCTCCTTGAGAGCTCGGCCCCCGCGGGGCCCGTTGGCGGGGGCCCCGGGGGGCGATGGGGCTGTCGGGCCCCAGGGGCGATTGGAACCACGGGGACCGCGCACGGGGAAACAAAACAAAACTGAAGGGGCCCTGCAGGGCCCCTTCAGTTTTGTTTTGTGTGTCCCATGGGGCACACAAATCAATACACACACGCACAAAGGACAGGATTCCCCATATTTCCCTATATTTTCTGGGTTTTTGTCTTCCCCTCCACTTCCCATATTTTCCCATATTTTCCTGGGGATCGACGATTCGTTGTGTCTGTGTGTTTCTTTCCCTCCTGAAAGACGGATCGTCAGATGTCTGGGAAGGAGGGGCGAGGGTGTGAAGGCCCTGTGAAGCGTCTGGCGTGCTGAGGCCCCCGCCTTCGTCGCAAGGGGTGCGTCGCCCGTGCGCCGGTCGCTGAAGAATGCCGTCGTCCCCGCGAGCATGCACGTCGCCGTCGCAAAAAGGAACTTTGGTGCTCGGCGCCGCAACCGGTGAGAGAGCCAGAACGGCCGAGGAAAGAGGATCCCAAGCACCCCGCGCCTCGGAAGAGGGTTCCTTTGCGGCGGCTGGCCTGTCGCCTTTTACGGGCCTTTCTGGGGGCGGGGATCTGCCCGTCGTTTCACCGCGAATCGTTTTTTGTCTCACCTCTCGACCACTTCCCCACGAGGCGCCAGGCACCGAGCAACAACGCTGCGCCGGATGCCTGGGGTCGGGGGGCAGGGTCCTTCGAGGCCTGGAGACGGGCCCCGCAAGGACCCTGGCAAGGGTCATGACCTTCGAGGCATGGAAAGGAGCTCGCCGAGATGCCTTGAATGGGCCCCTGCGAGGCCTGGAAGGGGGGAGCCCCGAAGCAACTGCCCGCAAGTGGTTTTCCAGCCGATTTTAGGGAACCGAGCTCTATACACCGACGCTTTCTCTGGCCCTGCACTGAAGCTCGCACAGGAAAACAAATCCTGGTGTATACTCTGTGTCCCTCAATAGTTCTGGGTCCCCGGACTACTGGTACCCCCTGGACTACAGGTACCCCTTCCGTACACCCCCGGCCCGGACTACAGGTACCCCCCCCCCGGACTGCAGGTACCCCCCCCCCGGACTACAGGTACCCCTCCCCGGACTACAGGTACCCCCCCCCGGACTACAGGTACCCTCGTTAGGCGCTACAAATCCTCTCCGAAGCTACAGGATCCCGTCAATTCGCTATCCCCTGGGAGCCAAAGCGGCCCACCAAGCATGTCTCTGCACATTTCCGTCCATCGCCCACATTGGGTCAGCGGTCGAGACGGGGCACTATCGAGGGACGAATGGGCATCGAAACAGGGACAGAACGACAAAAGGAAAGAGACATCTACAGAATAAGAGGCACACGAGTAGGGAGGAAGGGAGGAACAGAGATATTGGGAGAGAAAGAGAGACACCGACTGTCGGACTGACAGAAAGCGTGTGTTCGCGCGTGTCAGCGCGCGTGCGCGTGCGCGTGACGCGTGCAACGATGCGCGTGCAGTCCCGCGCGCGCAGACACCCGCGCGCCGAAACCCGTGCGCGTGGAGCCACGCGTGCTTCGACGAATAACATGCGCGCCCCCTTGGACTACAGGTACCCCCGCGCGGCCCCACACCCGGACTACAGGTACCCCCCCCGACTACAGGTACCCCTTTCCCGGACTACAGTTACCCCCCCCGGACTACTGGCACCCCCCCCTGGACTTCAGGTACCCACCGTGGACTGCAGGTACCCCCAGAACTATTGAGGGACAGAGTACGGGAGGTTGGTGTATACGTTTTTCGCAATTTCCCAAGAGAACGGGGAAACAACTATACACCACACCACCCCGACGTCGTCCGTGACCCTCAAAAAGTTCAGGGATTGAAAAACAGCACGCCCCTGGTAGTGCATATTCCAGTTGCCGAGATCTGGTCGGCGCCGTTCGGGAGACGACCCCTGTCCCCGCGGAGCGCTCCCGGCAAGAGGCGCAGCTGCTGGAGAGCACACTGCGAGGTGGGAGCGCCTCCACCTCCTCCTCCTCCTCCTCCTCCTCCTCCTCCTCCTCCTCCTCCTCCTCCTCCGCTGGCGCTGGAGATCTAGGCCCGCGCGCGCCGCAGGGCGGGGGCCAGACACCCGATGCTCTTGTTTCGTCAACGCGGCCCCGCTCGAAGCCTCGACCCCCCTAGGGGGCCACATGCGAACCCTACCCCTAGCCCACACGATCTCTGAAGGGGAGGGGTAGGGTTCGCATGTGGCCCCCTACCCCCTCTTCCCAAAGTCAATTTTTCCTCCCGAGCAGTTTTGGGGGCGGTCCCGGGGCGTGGCAGGGGCCCCGGGAGGCCGAGAATGGCCGACCACCTCGCGCCGTGATCCGGCGTCGGCGCAACTCCCCCAAATCGACCCCCCCTCACGTTCCCCTGACGACCCCTCGGGCGGGTAGTAATGGGTGACCCCAACGGGGGGAGGAGAGGAAAGACCCAAAGAGGTCCTGGAGGGCCCCTTTTTCGGCACCCACTGGCTCCAAAAGGGCCCCTTGAGGGCCCTCTCCTTCACCCCCCATTTGGGCCACCCCCATTTTACCGCCCGCCCGAGCCTCTTTTTTTCCCCTCCCCCCGCCCCCGGCTCAGCCGGTGCCGGAGATCTGGGACCACGCGCGCGGCGGAGGGAACCAGAAGATACCCACACCGCAACGCCCGGAGCCTCTCCTGGAGTGCGTCCTGACGTGGGCGACGGAGATACACGGTCTTACGCACGATGACACAGCGACTTTACGCGGTGGCTCGCGCGAGCCGCCTGCGTGGCACGCCACATTGGGAACGAGGGCTCGCGCGCGACTGCCGGCGCAGTCCTGCGTCGCTCACCTGGACTTCGGTGCGGATCCAGCGGTGGCGACGAATGAGGGTCGGGGCGGGCGAAAGGGGGGGATAGCAAAGGGGGGGATTGAGAATCAGCTCACGTAGCTGATTTTCCCGGCGCCTCCCGGCGCTGGGCGGCGCCCATGTATCGAGGAATGGGCCCCTCGATGGGGCCGAAACCAGCTGCCTGCAGCAAATTTCGTAACCCCCCCCTTTCCCAATCCCCCCCTTTCGTTCGGCCCGGGAATCCAGCGGTGGCGACGAAGGAGGGGTAGCGGCAGCGGTATTTCCTCCTCCTTTGTCGGGCGTTGGCGGGACTGGGTTCACTGCGACTGGTTTAATGATACGATCCCGCGGACGCCGCCCAGCCCCATTCGACCAACCGGAACTGCCCGCGGTGATTGGACCATTCGACGCCGACCAGCCCATTCGATGATTGGGGCCTCGGGGCCCAATCAACACGGTCGCGGGGGTCCTCGCTACATCCGTAGAGGAGGAAACAACGGCAGAAGTATAAACTTTTCGCGCTCCGCGCGGGCCTTGGATCTGCGCTGGGCCCCCCTCCCTGGCGCGCGGAGCGCGCTAGGGGCAGCGCCGGAGGCGCCGCCATGGGGGGGGCCCAGGCGCCGATCCAAGAAATCTGCGCGGAGCGCCAACAAATTATGTTTCTGCCGCTGTTTCTTCTTCGAATCCGACTCCGGGGAGCGGGGCGGCCCAGAAAACGACGGCCGCGGCGCCCCCGCGAGAACCGCAAGCGGACCATTCACCCACTCGACGCGTCAGGGTTGGGGCTCCGTCCACCCCCGAACGGTCGCGCGGGTCCTAGCTACATCCGACTCTTTTGGACGCCCGAAATGGGTACGGAAATAAATTGGCGCAATGCCCAACAACAAATGTTGTCCCAAACCAACAGCGGCCGCTGTTGGGCAGGCGGCCGTCTGTCTCACATGTACACAGGCCGCGGCGACACCGACAGCGAGCCCGGTTCAAAATGCACAGGAACCGCTGTTGGGCATCGTACCCATCTCCTGCGGACGGGGAAGCGGAAGACCTCGAGGCTGGTTGCCTTCTTCTCCACAGCGCAAGTGACGTCCTCCTCCTCCTCCCCCTCCTCCTCCTCCTCCTCCTCCTGCCGCTGTTGGGCATTGCACCTCTGGGGAGCGGGGCGGCGCCGAGCAGGAGCAGGAGGAGGGGGAGGAGGAGGAGGAGGAGGAGGTGGGTATTGTACCTCTGGGGAGCAGGAGGAGGGCGGGGGAGGAGGAGGAGGAGGAGCAGGAGGAGGGGGATTCCTCCTACACATTTCGTTCGTGCCGAACTCTGGGGAGCGGGGCGGCGCCTGCGATGCCGGCGGCGCAGCGCCGTGGGCCGCCGCGGGCGGCGCCAGCACGGGCCGCGGCGCCGGCGCCGGCGGCACCAGCGGCCGCGGGGGCTTCGGGGGCGCCTGGGGGCCACCGCCGGCCGCGGCACTCCTGGTGCCTGCTCTTACGCCGCCTCCCTCCTCCTCCTCCTCCTCCTTCTTCTCCTCCTCCTTCTTCTCCTTCTCCTCCTCCTCCCCCTCCTCCTTCTGCTTATTATCATTCCTCTCCTCCTCCTCCTTCTTATTATTCTTCTACGTCTTCTTCTGCTTACTATTATTCGTATGCGTCTTATTATTGTTGTTTTCGGTTGAAAGATATGGTTAGGTCTTATCATTATGTTTAGTGTTATCATCATCATCCTCCTCCGCCTTCTCCTCCTTGTTATTATTCTCCTCCTCCTCCTTCTGTTATTGTCCTTCTCCTCCTCCTCCTCCTCTTTCTTATCTTTATGCGTATTACGTTGGTTATTCCTCTTATGCTGCTTATTCTTAGTATTAAGAAGCTTAAAATTATGACTGTGTTTCTTCGCACTAGTATTCGTACATCTTATTATTATCCTCCTCCGCCTCCTCCAGCTCCTCCTCCTTCTCCTCCTCCTTCTGCTTGTTCTTCGTATTATATTATGATTATCCTCCTCCTCCTCCTTCTCTTCCTCCTCCACCTCCTTGTTATGTTTCTTCTGCCTCTTCTTCATATTCTTATTATTATCATCCTCCTCCTCTGCCTGCTCCTCCTCCTCCTCCTTTTTCTTCTCCTCCTCATCCCCCTTATAGTTATTATCCTTCTTCTCCTCCTCTTCCTTCTTCTTCTGCTTATTACTATTGTTAGTATTCGTGTTGTTGGTACGCGTCTTATTCGTATCATTCGTATTAGTATTCGTCGTATGCTTATTGTGACTTTTCTTGCTAGTATGCATACTATTATTATCCTCCTCCTCCGCCTCCTTCTCCTCCTTCTTCTTCTTCTCCTCCTCCTCCTTCTGTTTTTTATGCTTCTCCTCCTCCTCCTCCTCCTCTTCCCTGTTTCCTGTCGTCTTTCTCCTCTCGCTTATTCCCTTCTCGTCCTCCTCGTCCTTCTCCTCGTCCTCCTACTCCTCTTCCTCTATGGTGCTCCTCCTCCTCCTCCTCCTCCTCCTCTCCTCCTCCTCCTCCTCCTCCTCCTCCTCCTCCTCCTCGGTGACTCGGTGATGCGGACAGTGTCGAGCGATGATTGCCCCGATACCTTCCATACCATCCCACAGCCGGTGCTTGGGGATGGCAAAACAAAAACGACGAGGAAAGACGCGAGACATGAGGGACCACGAAGGATGATGATGCACCTCGGCGGAAGGGCTCGCTCGCTCTCACCCATTCAGTTCAATGTCTTATCAATCTCATCTTCGCAGAACCTGGGGGGGATATACAACTTATATGTACCCCCATTCATCTTGCTAGCTCTGAGAGCCACGCGCGCTGGCAGATGCAACACTGAGTTGCCTGCGCGGGGGCCTGGCCGTTGAACTCAGCGGGCAGGGCACAAATTCGGGGAGGGGGTAAGCCTGTCGCTTATCTCATTCCTCTCGTGCACCGACAAATCACGACGATCGGCGAGCGAGAGGGCAGAGCGGCGGGGCCTAAAGGAAGACGAGGATGAGGGTGTGGTAGCACTGCAGCGGTAGCAGATCCGATCCAGTTAGGACAAGACCCAAATCCACCGCTCGAATTTCACAGGCTGAGACGGGCTCCTGGGAGACAAAAGATCTCGATGGGGTCCTCAGACCAGGCTGCTGCATCCCTCATTCACCGCCGTAGTGGCTACTGTCCCCACAGGGGATACCCACCACCACTGAGGCGGCAGTGGGCGGGGACACAGCAACCATTCACACAAGAAAGACCCAAGACAGCCGCCTCAAGCGGTGCCGCAGGCACACCACCTCCGAGAAGGATCCAGAACTCCGCCTCCGCGGGCCTCGGCCGTTAGGCCTCGGCCTAGGGGAGGTCCCAGGAGCCCGAAAGAGGACTACATAAACAGGGTGCACCACGCTCGGACTCATATGGCGCTAGCCAAGTTGGAATAGAGACAATCCACCCCATCTTGAAATACCAGTGCCACATACATACAGTCTCAGGCCTTCATCAACTTGCGAGCCATATTGCCGCGTGGGGCTTTGCTAGCTGTCACAATTCCGCCGGCGGCTCTGAGTAGCTCTGAAACAACTGCTTCAATTCCCATCACCTTCCCCTGCAGTGTGTATAGCGCCGTCGGCATCTCCAGCGGCGTCACTTGGTGTAGCTGACTGTCGGGTTCGCTGATGGCCTGGAGAAGCTCCGTCGCGCTGCCCTCGTCGTCGGGCACCAATGTTGCTCCGCGCAAGCTGAATAAAAGGCGCGACTTCTTCGGCTTGTTGGGCTGGTCGAAGCGCGGGAAGACTGCTGTTTCTTGAGCCCACTGTCCTGTCAGATCTGGTCCTGCTCGCTCCAACATCTGGCTGATTCGGGCGGCCACGAGCTTGAGCCGCGATATCCTCACCGAACTGTCCTTGTACTGCCAATTGCCTAAGACGTTCAGAACTGCGTAGATTGCTTGGCAGGCTGGCGAACCAAGGTTCGTGGCTGGGTCATTTTTTTTCGTTCCTTGGCGTACTCCGCGTACGATTTGTTGACGTCCACCACTGCCTGATGAGTTCTGTCCAATATCGTGGTTGTCATCGCCTCGTGCTCCAATAGCCGAACTCGAGCCTCCAGCTGAACGATGATATTCTTCATCAACAGAATGGTTGTAGTATCGTCCATGTCCTCGTCCCCGCCCTCCTCGTCGATCCGAGCTTTCTTCTTTTCCTTGGTGCCCTCCGCGAAGCTCTGACTGCGAGCCCGTAGTAGCCAAGACTTCTGAGGGGTGTCTTCTTCGCCTGGCATTGAGGCGTGGTGCCCAACGTGGATCAAGTAACCTAGCCCACGAGGTCGTAGAGCTCACTGGTAACTGCTGCTTAGACTGCAATACTGTTTCGTGCTTCTTCAACTGACGAACATGAAAAGAGGGAGAAAGGTGCGGTTCCAGGTGTTCACGGCAGTGCTTGAACCACGATTCCGTACAGCCAGAACTCTCGTCACAAATAGGGCGCGTCATACTTTTCGGGGGAGCAACTTCACATGCGTATCTCCCACGATCGCACGGACAGTACTGGCGACCCCGGCACTCAAGAACACGCTGTCGCACAACGCGCACATATTTGTAGTAGTTAGGATGCGTCCCACATGTAGTTGCCCATGACTACCTCCTACTGCGTTCACGATGTGCTTAGTTAACATATGTTGCGTAAGCCATGCCGTGTTACATGTAGTGCCGTCTGCCAGAGTTTCTTTGCATCTGAACTTGCCCTCATGGTGTGCTTGCTTGCGCGTGCTTGTAGTAGGCGTAGTTAGAAACTTAGCTCGTAGTTCATCACAATCAACCTCTATGAAATCCGCGTAGCCCTCAAACATGACATGCTTCATGCTCCCTCCAATGTCCCACATAGTCCCCCCCACACCTCCAACTCCTTCAGTGCCCCCAAATCATCTTGAAACTGAACGGCCCGCGGATGCGCATGAGGCCGCACCGCCCCCTCCTCAGGAAAAAACATCACAGTCGAGAAACGGACTTCCCAAAACAAGTGGACAATAACTGAATGTGTTGATCTCGATCCTGTACTATGGTTTGCAACCGCTTCAACCTGCGAATGCGAAGTTCGGTGAACAGGGGGGCAAGTCGGAACTTTTTTAGCACCTCGACTCCGCTTGTGGTACTGGCGTGCTGCTTATCCTCATCCCAGGTCGCAGTGCCACCAAGGATTGCACGACATTCGCGTACAATGAAACCTTCGAGCGGCGCCAAGTCTCCACCTGTGAGAGGAAGATGGCCTTTTTACGCGCACCTCGAGCCCGCTGAGCGCTGCGTTCACCAATAGCCCTTTGACAATGGAAAGCTTTACCCCGAAGTTTCCAGGAGACCTCCAAAATCTTCCCATTGAGAAGTAACTAGCCTGAAGAGCTCGTAGTCTTTCTTTCCCCCCCCCCCCAATTCGGGTTTAGGTGTAATGCTGCTAGCCTGTAAGCCTCCAAGGTATCGCGCGTGGTGTTTAGTGCGCCCAGCTATTGTAGTACCATGTTTGTGTACAAGACGTGCTGCTATATGTGCTCCTGCTCCTCGAAGATAAGCTACGTTCTCCTGCTTGTTAGTGTTCTGAGATGCACCCACCTCCCCCAATCCCTTTTCAATCGCTAGATTCTCAAGACGACTGCCTAGCTCCAACTTGTCGACTATCGTGCCATGATATTGTGCTTCAAGTACTTTACAAGAAAGATCACCTACGAAACCAGTTAGTGCCATCTGCTGGGTGAGACTATCTTCCCAAAGCGGATCTACTTCAACTGCGTGAAACCATTTTTCAGTCACAAAAAGGTCGGCCACCGCAATCTGAACAGGTGGGCTGAACGTCTTCGCAAAGATCGAAGTGGCCCCGACGTCGCCAGGAAACGCTCCCTCAGACGGTCGAAGCCAGAACGTGCCAGACTCGTCCTCCAAGAGAAAAGCTCCACGTAATACTCGATCTCGTGCGAACTGGAGATCTTGATTGGCACGCAGCGTAGGTAATATGTCCAATACCTTCTCGTGCTTTAAACTGAAGAAAGCATTAGTGGCGTCGTGCAACCTTACCAGATGAGACACGCCTGCAGCCTGCAATCGATCTGCTGATATAAGTTGCGTGCCCATGGCAGCTTCGCGTCGTTTTTTTTTTTTTTTTTTTTTTTTTTTTTTTTTTTTTTTTTTTTTTTTTTTTTTTTATTTTTTTATCAAGTCCGCCGTGAATCCACTCTTCTGGCTGCCATGGGTCGACCTTCTTCTCAAGGCCGCCGCGTGATATGTTCTTCCAATGGTACACCTGATCATGATAACCCGCTCGCCGTCAACCTCGATATTGTCGTTGCCCTTCGGAAGGCGCGCGCCTTGAGCTGCATGCCACTCAAGAGGTACTCGCAGTAGCTTGCGAGAGAGAAAAAGGGTAGCTCGAAAAAGTCCCTGAGTAATCTTTGGGGCCTTGAATTCACTACTGTCAGCTCCCACACCAGCCTGCGGTCGCGGTCGTCGAGGATTGACCCACGTGGGCTTCATGATGAGTCGAAGCGCTTCCACAGGTACTGACCACGCTGGATAAGCTCTCCAAAGTTTCATCCGCCATATTGTTTTATGCGTGCCATTCCAATCATCAACGGATAACTCCATAGCTTCTTCATCAGTGCGAACTTCTCGTCCTTTCTGCGATGACCTCGCTCGTGACCGAGTCGACGCCAGCCTCCACAGCAGAACATCCTCCTTTCGCACTGGGTAGCTTCATCTTGGCACACCATCCTGCTGCACTTGCCGTCGAGTGCGGCGCTCCTCGGTGCGGCGCGGCAGTCGCGGCGGAGGGTAAGGGGGGCGGGTACGGCGATGGAGCGCTGCGGACAGAACAGAGTGGCGACAAAGCGCGCGGTGGAGGGGGGGCAGCTCGAGAGGCGGGGCAAGTGAAGGGGGGAGGAGGGGAGCTGGCCCGAGCGGGGCCCCACCCCACGAGGAGGAGTGGGAGCCCCCTCGGCGTGGCCTGGCTCTCAGTGGCAGTGCGACCAAGAAGGGCCACGGCCGTCGGTCGCTGCCGGTAGCCTGTGCCGACGGTCCTCCTCCTCCCCCTCCCCCTCCCCTGGTCGGTTGCCTCAAGGGCCCTCCGCCTCGCGAAACCTTCCTCGATCGCCCGCGCCAACTCATGGCTACCCTGAGAAGCTTGCTGGAGTACGGAGTGATTGGTAGAGGTAGGGCCGAGGGAAGAGGAGATGAGTTAGCGAGGAAAGAGGAGCAGAGGAGGGAAGAGCCGACGGAGGAGGAGTAAGATAGAGGGAGAGCCGAAGGAGCAGGTAATAAATTGGCATACGCACCCCAAAGACAAAAGGAGAGAGAGGGGAAGGGGCAGGGGAAGGGAACAGAAGAGAAGGAGGAGGAGGATGAGGATGAGGAGGAGGAGGAGGAGGAGGAGGAGGGGGAGGAGGAGGAGGAGGAGGAGGAGGAGGAGGAGGAGGGGAAGGAGGAGGAGAGGGAGGAGGAGGAGGGGAAGGAGGAAGAGGAGGAGGGAAGGAGAAATATTGCATGCTAGTGGTAATCATGATGAGGATTGTGATGAGAATGAGGACGCAGAAAAAGAAGAAGAGTTGATTTCCCAAACAGCGCTTGCACAAAAAGTTTCTGTGAATTTCCTGGCCGTCGTCAGCCGCTTCCGTTTTGTTTACAATCCTCTTTCCCCTCTTTCCTCCCTCTCTCATCCTCCTCTTCCTCATCATCCCCTTCTCTGTTTGATTGCAGTGCGTAGCACCTCGCTTCGAGAGTGCAAGAACTCACGTTGTCTGAGGTCCACCGTGCTGGTTTTGCTCGACTGGCTCATTCTCTGATCATCGAGCGTGCCCGCAGCAAGGACTGTCTTCACTGTTGTCGCTCCGATCCTAGCCCTGCCGCCAACTCGCGTGACGCAGCGCGGTCCGCGACCATAGCACCTAAGAGAAGAGGTTGTATATCTGATCCATTTTTGATGTGTCATGGCCTGAGCTGGCGAGCAAGCTCTTCGCTTTAAAGTACTCCCTCTTGTCGGATGAGTTCTGGAAGAACACAGACTTCCGCACGCCGTAGTTCAATGGAGTAGTAGCTTTCGATGCAATCAACCAGCCAGCAGGGACGAAGAGAATCTCACCAGCCTTCACAGTCGTGCGGTAGATCTTCATACCAGTCTCGGAATACTTGTCCAGGTCGGGTTGCGTCATGTCCTTCAGTGCATCTGTCATGTCCTTGTGCCCTTCGATCTTCTTGCCACCGTCGGTGAAGGCACCCCATGCAGTCGTTGAGCTCATCATGCAGATCTCGGCATTGCCCTGGTAGGTCAGACGGAACATGCCAGCACTGTTAGGCGAAAATTGCACGTTGATGAAATCCGAACCTTCGCCCCAAAGCCACGTGGACTCCATCCAGACCTTGCTGACTGAGCTGATGTCCAGGATCTTTTGTTTGAATTGGTTCAGGATGTCTTTGAAGAACTGCGCGACAATCTCCTTCCCCTTTCCGGTCGGCATCGAGACCTTGTGCGATTGGGCGAACAGTTTGTCCTGCGATGCGCCACCATGTGAGGCCCGAGCTATCGCATCACCATCTCTAAGTCGGCATGTGTTCTCCAAGTGCCCCTCCCATTCCTTCCCCCTCTGCCCTAGAGCGTTCAAGAGCGGCCTGCGAGCAGGAGGGAGGCGTGGGAAGGCAGGGCGCCCAAGGGCAAAGGCAGGAGGGTAGAGAGCGGGGAAGGGAGCTTGAAATGTTCGAGAACACATGCCGACATAGAAGGCAATGCAATAGCTCAGGGTTCACATCGATTGTGCCGCGCCTGCTTGTAGCGATCGGCCCACCAGGTCATCATCTGGCTGATCGTCTTGTGAGCCAGGAACGGCGACACGAGGGAGTCACAGATAATGATAAACGGAGTGTCCAGAGCAGCATCATCGATGAGAGGGATGCCATGTCTTCCTTCATATTTGTGCACCGTCGCAATTCCAGGCCCAGTCATGGTGAAGAACGCAGGCACGACGTCAGCATCTCTGCGGGACTTAGATTGGATGTCATCAGCTTTAGCTTTGATATCTTCCCTGTGCTTGCGCACGAGTTCTTTTTCTTTCTCTTTTGCTCGCTGCTTCTCCTCCCTCTGCTTCGCTGTAGCCGTCAA